CCTCCATTGGTGTTTCATAATGTGTGGTCAAATTAAATCTACTACAAATGATGGTTTACACCACAAACACATTTTGCTTTAAAAGGATGCATGTAGCACTGTTAATGATGTTGAGCTAAATATTTGAATAAAAATCAAATAAGAGATAATACTATCGCACGGTTAGTCCAGGGGGCCGCGTTAAAGCAGCCCTTTGTCACGTTCACTGCTACTCACCAAAACACATAGACTCTAATTGACACTGGACACATTTATTTCCTCATAAAACATTTGAAAAGGCAGTTTTTGTAAGAGTTTATATCTATGTGTTCTTAGCCAGCAGTCTTTTTCTACCTTGTCCTTGTTGGTTTATTACTCAAGCCCCCAGGAAGAGCGCCAGGCTCCGAGGCTCTGAAGTGAATTTTACATAGTGGTCGAACGGAGGAATTCCAACTTCTGGGTTTGTCACGTGATGTTATTGGGCCGAAAAAGACTTACACTGGGAAAGAGACGTCTGTAACTCAGTGGCTAAAGTTTTTTTAAGGTAAATCAAATTCCCAGTGTATCAGTGCCTGTCTTCGGCAGGTGAAATACATGTTCAGTTGGACAGAGGTCAGATAACTTACTTGGCCGGTTAGGAACAGAACTCCTTGGGAGTCTAAAAAGGGCTTACCTCTTTAAAAGTCAGCTCTTTGCACCGCCATAGACATTTAATGTCAAATCTAATGTGCTGCAGGGGAGACAACACAATGACATTACAGTCCTTCGCTAGACTTTTTTCTTAGATTTTATATGTTTGTGTGTGTGTCTGCGCATACCACAGACTAGTTGCCACATTCTTGCTTCAAGCAGGTGTGGCAGTTGTAGGTAAGTTTCAGAAAATCCTCAGACAGCGTGTTTGTGTGTACATCTCTGCACCCGCAAGTGTGTGACTCACCGTGTCTGTTGAGACACAGTCGTCACACCTGAGTGCTACCAGACATGTCTGTCTGTCTGTGAGGGCGTTTATGTAATAAATGTGTGTGTGACGTTTGAAGTTTTCCATAACTTCACCTGTAAATCTTCTCGCCGACTGCACTTCTGATCTCAGATTTCACACAAAAAGACAGAACCTCAGGGCCAAACTGCAAGAGCTTGAGCTGTAATCTTGAAGACAAACTTTCCCAAAACCTGGCCTGTCACTTTGGCTGCATGACTTACGACTTGAGTTAGCCAAGAGGAGTCACAAAGGAACAGACGCTGGAAATACCACTTCAACTTACAGCATAATCACATGGTAGTTTGACCCAAATTTACCATTCTGCACTATGTCTCTAAAATGGTCCCGCTGACCTCATGTGATGTTTTCTCTTTCTTTATTTCAGTAACAAAGAAATGAGTTTTGTGGATAACCAAATTTCCCTCAGAAAGCATCTATGTATAATACAAATCTAATTTTAATTTTCTTGTGTATTTAGCTTGTCTAAAGTTATGCACTTAGCTTGAAAAAGCTTTAAAAGCTCTAATCAGAGCCACTACGCCTTCGTAGCTTTAACCTGTTGCCACGATTGATGTATTGCCATATATAATCATTATTACAAAGACAATCTCACCACAAAAGACAATTATGGACACCAACAGATTAAACTTGTTATCTTCTATTTACCATCTCCTATCCATCTGAGCAAGCAGAGTGAAAGAAAAGCATTGTGGGCTATGTGCAACAATTAGACTCAGGCTCACACGGCGTTGTGGGCTGCTTTTGTTTGAAGTAATTACAGTGTGTGCAACAGAGAGCCCAGGGCAAGGTGCGAAGCGGTTTAGTCATCCTTGTTCATCAGCGGAAAGAAAAAAAAGAAAGTACTGTGAGTCTTTTTTCCGTGTAGGAGGGGGGGTGGGGAAGTGTTTGTGCTACACTGAGAGCCAAAAGTGAGTCAAATGGCAAAGGCCACTGGATCAGTGAGACAGGGTGACGTACTGTTTGAAAAGACAAATGATAGCTGACACGTCTGGGGTAGTGTGTGAGCATGAGAGAGTTGGATGTATTAAGGACTGATGGTGGCGCACACACAAGACTTTCAACCAGGAGACTGGTGTTTAATACCGGTTTTTGTGTCCTAAAGGCTTGTTGAGTTATTGTGAAGTGACGTTGGGGTCATGAAGTGTTTACACATTTTATTTATCTTACCATGTCGTTTTTCCTCAGTGGTTTGATTGCTTATATTTAATGTTAGTTTTGTTGCGTAAACCTAAAGTAATGCGCTGTTAAGAGGCCGTGGGTCATTTCACATATTTCGGGGAAATCATGTTGGCCACACCGAGCGAGAAAATTTCCGTCAGACATTACTTCACTATATCTTTACATAGCAAATAGTTGTTTGCTGTATTAATACTCTTAATATTTGGTGTCAAACTGCTCTGGTAGTTCTGTAGCACTAGCATCTTTATATCCTGCTTGTTTTGAGGAACCTTTCCCTTTCGTTCAGCAGGTGAAATACATGCTCAGTTGAACTGGGGTCGGCTGACTTTCTTGGCCAGTTAAGGACAAAACACCTTGGCTGTTGTTTTGTATCTTCTAGAAACAACGCCCTGATAAAACACTGTTATTTATAACTTTGTGGACTGCTGCTGTTAGCCTGCTATCCTAGCTCCTGCAGGTTATGTTTACAAACCTACCCATGCTATTTCCTGTCTCCGGTGCTGTTGACCACACCGCATGAGTACATTTCAGTCTGACTGCACCTTGACTTAGACGCTGATCAAGCACAGCTTCACAGAGTCCTGAGATGAGGTCTAATCAGGCAGGTTAAGTGAAAACACCTGTATTAGTGGCCCTTTAATGAGGGAGCACACTACAAAAAATATGACCCCAGTTAAGTGGTTTTTAAAATGCTCTTTGAAGACTAGGCTATGCAACATTTACTTTGTCACAGTTGATCAATGTGAAACAGTTAGAAGTTATTATTAGGCACCCTGATCACAACCATAAAATATGAATGTTAATCTCCATGCAGAAAACTGCATTTATTGACACTTGAGATCAAACTTTATATTCTGTTGTAATTGTGGCACAAAGGCAATAATTGTATAAGCTGCTCTTTAAAAGGTGTACAAAGTGATATTTCTATGAATTAAATGGCTGTATTGGGAACTGAAACGGGTGCTCGTAGTTATGAAATCACAGATAATTTAGAGTTCTAAGTTTTTAAAGGAGATCTCCGGTTTATCATACTCCTATGATACCTGTTTACTTTATATTTACAATTTACCACGAAAACCTATAGTACAAGTACGGCATCTGAGAAGCTGCTTTTAAAGACACGACAGACTTCCCATCCACCAGTCACCCCCTGCACAAACTGACAACCATAACGCTTCTGTTGATGCTTTCATGCTCCACACACCCCATTTCCACTGAGAGTTGGTGTAATAAAACTTCGACACGGGCCTAAGAACTGCACACAAGCATCAAATAGTCAGCAGCATGCATCAGCCTTCACCCAAACAAGCCACTCTCATGATTAAAATCAGCTTTTGTGGAATAGATTCACCTCCTGGGCTTGTTGTATGGTCTCTGAGACAGAAACTGGGTGAGTTACATAAATATATCCAACAACAGTTGTGAATAGGGGGAGATCTGTTCTGAGTCAAACTGAGACTGACAACTGTGGAAGTCTGGATGAAACTACTGAGACTCACAGGATACACGATGACAGCCCTGAAATCTGACAGACACTGGAAGCACATGGAAATAATGGAGGCAGGTCAGCTAAAAAAAAACATGAACAGCATGAACATGAACCCGAGCTTTGGGTGCATTTGCTCACGTAATCTTTGCCTTTTATTTGGGCGTACTGTCAAATTTAAAATGGAAATTTCAACAAAGGCCCCTAAATTGAAAAGGAAACAGTGTTGTATCTGAGGAAACATGGCACAGTAGGAGAGGAAATGGGTGTAGATCAGGGAACAAAAGGAAATAAAGGAGGTGAAGGAAAAGAGAGATCGGTGTATTATTGACAGAGCATATGATCATATTGTTGGCTCGATCATAAAGGATGGCTTTCGTCAGTATGTGATGGCGAGACAGGCAGTATAACAAGATAGAAAATAGAGCAGACGCATGTTTTACATTCAGAAGGTAAAGGGAGCCCCCTGCTGGTTAGAGGAGCATTGGACTGAACGCAGATTTAAATCATGCTCTGGATTTTCTGTTGATTTTGTCGCATTTAAATTTTGGATTAAAGAGACACCTCAGAAAAAAAGGCAAATGGAGGCACAGGCCAAAGCAAAGGAAAGGACTTTACCCCTCAAAACTAACACAAAACAAAACCCTTGTTTTGTGTGAACCAAGAACCTCAAACTCAAACTAAAACCAACTAAGCTCTAAAACAACACAAAATGACTTTGTGTTTGCAGGAAGCTGGTTTCTCGCTCCCCTCCACCTGTCCTCCTTCAGAGCCTGACGCGTCAATCAGCACAGGTGAAACCTCTCTGTCCATCAGAGGCTTTTGACAAAAGAAAAAGAAAAAAACTGAAAATATGGAGTGCGTTACATGCAACTGTTTATTTTTATGATATTATTTATTTCAAATATTTTTTATGTCCTATTGTTGGAAAAAATATGAAATACCCCAAACCAATAATTAGAAAGTAATATGATCCGCTGTTTACTCATCATGCGATTTGTGACTCATGATACGCATTTAAAGGCCTTTTGAAAACAAGAGTTAGGCTTTTGAAGAAATAAATGGTTTTAAAATATGTCAAGGAGAAAAGCAAACATTTTACAATGAAACCTTTAAAATGCAGTGACTGTGTCACTATTGTTGTTGTTGTAGGGTGAACATTAGCAGTCATAATTCTTAATACTGCTTTTTTTCCTTTGCTTTTTAGGCCTGTTTCAGCTTGTCTTCTTAGAAAAATAAACGAGAGTAAAGTGACAAAAGGAAGAAGAAAGAAAGAAAGATAGAAAATTACATTTACTCATTCATGCTTTGTCAGAACCTTTAGTGCAGTAGTCTTTTATTATAGCATACCAGAAAAACAAAACAACAGATTAAAACATACAAGACAAAAACACTAAATCTGAGATAAAATAATATTTAAATGCCATGTTCTTTCATGTCACAACATTAGGAATGTTAACAACGCACGCTTTGCACAGCCTCAGTCACAAACAGAAAATTAAAGTCAGTTTAAGTCATCAAGTCAGTGCACCTGACATTATCTCACCACACACACACATTCACATTTCACACATGTCATATAATTGTGCAGCACATTTGCCCTCCCTGATGTCCGAGGAGAGAAAAGGTGGTTTACAAATGCTAATATTATGTAATAATCACATCGCTCTGCCAAATCTCTACACTGAAATCCTCTGCCCTCTGAGCAGGTTAAGTGAGATAATCCTCAACTAATCCAGTTATTACTGCCTTTAATCTCTTAATCCAGTTTTTGCTAAACTATAGATTAGATCAAGTTTGCTGACAGGTATGAAGGGCCCTTTTTGTGGTTTAAGGCACTTTGGGAAAGAAGATATCACCATGCAACCCCAAGAAAGGGCTGTATTGTGCAGCCTATGTAACAGATTCAACAGCGGATACATCAGTTGTATTTACCTGAACCTTAATGATCACATGTTACACTGTCAGCAGCTGCGTCTCGAGCTGGGAAAGAGACAAATGTTAGCTCTGCAGGCAGCTATGTGTCGTACACCCACCTCATCTGTAAGTAATAAAGAATTTCATCAATTAGCGTAACTCTCTTTCAGTACAAGTAATTGTAGAAGTCCCCTGTTGTGGAGTAAACTCATGTTATACTGTAAAAGTATCGTAGAAGTATCTATTAGTATATTCCAGAGTATCTTCAGGTCATATTGTAATTCGTCCTTTCTTTTAAAGATTAAATACAAAACATATTTCTAATCTGTTCTCTATTTGTGTGGTGGGAGTATGTGGGCCTAAAAAAGGGTAAAGTAAAGGTTTAAAACCTGCTTTATTCTAACTTTTTTTTGTTTATTGTGACGTGGATGTAAAAGGACATTTAGATTCAGATAAAAGGGGACTTCTACAATAGCTGTACAGTTCAGTTACAGGACATCCTGTGTTTAATATAGCCTCCTCCATAAACTTCCTTCACCCAACCTCTTCATCATATTGTTTATACTCTCCAGATTCCTTCATCACGAGCAGCTACTAGTTGCTCTTTGTCTTCAGCTCTGCCAGCTTGCTGGTGACAAAGTTCCACTTGAAGGACGTGTCCTCGCTCCCTCCTCCCAGAGCGACGTATTTGGAGAAGCTGTTGTTGCTGCTCCGTCCTCCTCCTCCTTCACTCTCCTCTTCCTGAGGGATCTGCCCACCCTGGCTCTCCTCCCCTCCGGCCTCTGTCACCCCCTCCTCACCCTGACCCGCTGCTGCCTCGTTTGCTGCAGCAGCAGCAGCAGCAGCAGCAGCTGCAGCTTCTGTCTGCTTCTTGGCAGCCCAGTTGGCCGCAAAGCTGTCCCAGATTGCTGTGCGCTTAGTGGGACGAGGAGGCTCCTCCGGCTTTATTGCAAGTGGACTGAGGATTAAGATAAAAGTAGTGGGGTGAAACACACAATCAACATTGTCAACTAAATGTTTTCTGATTTTACATTTTATTCTAGTTTTCTACTCATTATAATGGCTGATACAGAAAAAAACAAAGATAAATTGGTCAAAAATAAGGTTTACTGCAGATTGACTTTTGGGGAAATACACTTATGCACTTTCTTTTGGTGAGTTAGTTGTCCGCAAGAAGATACAGCCAGAGCCCAGTTAGCTTAGCTTAGCATGAAGACTGCAAACTGGGGGAAACAGCTAGCCTGGTTTTGTCCAAAGTAGCAAAATCGGTGAGATTTAGAGGTGCTGGTGGTTGGATTTTGTTACTTTTGGACTGCCAGGCTAGCACTTCCCCCCTGTTTCCAGTCTTTATGCTAAGCTAAGCTAACCTGACTGCAGCTTTATATTTAGGTGACAGAGACTGGTAACTATCTTCTCATTTAACTGATGGCAGGAGAGAAAATAATCGGATATTTTCCAAAACTACTGCTTTAAATGTGGTAATTTACAGTAAATGCTGTTCAGGAAAAAGTAAACCTAGAAGTCTGTAAAACTTTGATGTTCTAACCAAATTTAGCCCAGGGTTGCATCTAATCAAAGCTTACATTCATAGTTTTAGTTAGATTTTGTTATAATTTCCTTTTTTGTCATTCAGTTTGTCAGTGAGCTAAGTAGGCTACAAGAAACTATAAAAATACCCAACAAACCAGCCCTGTTTCACCGACACAAACCCCACAGATGGTACAAGGTGTGAGAATGACATCCGTCCGGGGAGAAAGAGGACAGATGTCAACAAAAGAGAAAGATTTCAACTCACTGGTCGGCGACTGGCGGGCTCTCAGTCTCCTCTAGAAGCTGGTGTTCATCTTCTTTGTTGAAGAGAGATGATAGTCTGTTCCAGCTTTTAGTCCCGGCCCCCTGCATCTGGACACACAACCAACCACACAGGTGGGGTCAAAGGTCAAAGTGGGTATACATTTAGGTGGTTTCAGAGGATCAGTCGAACAATGGTCTTCTGATACTTTAATGATTTTTCATCCACTTATTATGATATTCCTCTTTACTGACACAACACTGAGGATGTGTAATACATTTAACAGTTATATGATTCTAAACTGTATTTGTTTACTTACTTTCTTGGCCAGCTGGGATACAGCGTTGGGCCCCTCATCCTCCTGCACGGGACTCACATCATTCTCCACCTCTGTGACCTGCAAATGGCAGAAAATACAAGACAAAATGGATGTACCTGTCCACGCAGCAACGTCCTGATGCGAATACAGATGCACAGGATTTGTGCACCATCTAGTGCAAAATGTGGATACTACAACCTGTAGAAAACCCAGAACAAGACCTAAAAGCGCACATCAAGAAATGTTCATCACAAATATAGAAGGCAGAGACCACTTTTAAATAGTATTTCCACACCAGTGTATGTTTTGAGATCATGGCGATACACTTTAGCTGTGTCATATTTCACAAGTGTGCATGGAGCAATGTCGACACAAATAGCACTCTGCACATCCCTCCAAATGGAAACTATCTCTCCAAACACACACAGTGTTCCCTGTCGTCCCTATAGATGCCCTGGCATTGCGAGAGACCACAGTTTGAAGCTGTCGGCTGGCTGGTCTGAGTACACCCTGAGCCCCCCCGCCCATGTCAGTCAGTCGGTGGAATGCCAACTAATCCGTTTGTTCAGCTCCCGTGCAGGATCGAGTTTCTGGGTCCTCCAGAGATCCGGGTAAACGCAACACTGTGTCTCTTCCGTTGGTACCAAACCTTGGATGGAGTACAGGTGTCGCAATGAGGCCGTGTAAAGCAATGGTAGTAGAAGAAGAAGTGGAGTCAGAGACTGAAGTTAAAGTACAAGTACAACAATGTTAAATATTCCATTAAAAGTAAAAGTCTTGTGTTGAAACACTTAATTGAGAAAAATTACTGTTACTAATGTAGCTGGAGGAGGTGGAGCTACTTTTAATCACTTTATGTACAGTTTGGTGTCCAGTGGTTCCCAATTGAAGGCGTGCAAAATAAATCTGGGAGGTTGTGAGATGATTTATGAAAGAAGAAAAACTGATTTTCAAGAATTGCCTCTTTTTTATGTGAAAGATTAACTTTTACCTTGAGCAACTATACAGTCATCTGTTAAGGTTACAGCAGAACGTGTGTGCAGGGCCAGCCAAAAAGATCGGTGACCACTGGTTTAATCTTCAAAAATGTTTTATAATCTCATCGTTATAAAATTGTAATCTGAAAAGTAACATGTAAATATAGTGTACTATAGTGTAGCGGGGCAGAAGTAACATAGCAAGTAACATAAAATGGAAATACTACCTAAAAATGCTATAATGAAATGTGATACTGAGATATTTTCCACCACTGATCACATGCCTTGTAATGTTGCCTTGATGTAAAATACTTCAGTTACAAACTGCTTTATTGAGGCTGTTAATACATCTGCTACTGGTTTAACCTTTGACACTGGAAACAATTCGATCAGTTAATAATTCAGTCAAAATAGCCAAAATACACAAGAGGAAGTATGTGGGCCTAACTTCTGCATTAAAGTTCCCTTTGCACGTAAAACAAAACAGTCTAGCAAGCTCGTCTGACCCTGTGATGAATAAAACACGATCAGCAAACCAAACCTGGTGACTCTCTGACTTCTGTTTCCAACAGCCATGTCAACTTTCTGACACTTTAATACATCCATTTGAATCAGTGAGATGGAGAAAGTTGTAAATTGTGTACCTCTTCAGGAGTGTCCTCCTCATACTCAGGGTTGAGAGTCTTCAGCACTTTGCTCTTATAGACTTTCCACACCGGATTCATACTTGCACAAATAGATGCTCAACACGCAGGGCAAGACCTGTGAAGACCTCTTTATGCCTCTGTGGTCCACCCTCCGGCAAGTCTCCGCGTCCAGCCTCAGCTCGTCTCAGTTGGGCCGACTTTGACCTGTTTCTATGCGTAAAAGTTCTCAGCAGCTCAGCAGCAGTGCAGAGGACCAGTTCAGCACCGAGGCCCGCACTGTTTCATGTTGTTTCTCCCGCTCTGATAGTGTCGGTCTCGTCAAGCAAATGGAGTTGACAGCTGCTTTCGTCCCCACAGTGTCTGAACAGGTAAAGCTAGGAAGCTGTGCTGCAAGCGCCCACGCAGGTGTGTACACACACACTCTCACACACACACACACACACACACACACAGTGAATTTCAGTGTCACGGTTCAGAATCCCTGCCTTGGTTACCTGGAAACAGGTGTGTATTTCCTCATGCATATTTCAGAGGGTCTCTTTCCCAGAGCCAGAGGTCCATTGTCAGCCAGTGTTGGTAGACCGGCTCATGTAACCCTGATGCATATGCACGCACACACACAAACACACACAAACGCATGCACAGTATTGACATGTTTGTGCTCAGATCTGGATGATTTGTTTTTTTCATGCTGCAGCAGCTTCACTTCCTTTTTGCAGGTTGTTTTCTCATAATTGGAGATAAAAACCCTCCTTCAAAAATTAGCAGTTTCCAATTAAAGTGGGGTGTTAACTCTTCATAATGTAGCTCAGCAGACAGAACGTTTTTAGAAACATGCATTAACTACTTGTCTGATCTGTAATTCCCGACACACACACGTTCATACCTGCAGTTTATTCATGGCTACACAAGTTAATACCATCTCACCGCACAACCCCACTGTTACCAGCCACTTCCTCGCGAGTCGTCCTCCTCTGCTCTCATTGGTTGCCGCAGCATATCAGCTGGACACCAATCAGTTTCAGGTTCACCGCAAAGGTGGGTTTTTTTTTTTTGTGACCGGTCGCTTAGCAACCTGAGATGACCTGAGTGCCGCGTAGATAAAGAGAGATGTATAAAGTTTTGATGACTGATTGAGTTTCACCAGCCACCCAGAACAACACAGCAGAGTACAGAAATACACACTGTTTTGCTTATTTGCTTAAAACTACTAAATACGATGCTGACTCGATACATCTCGATTATCTATTTTATTGCAGCAATGATTCAAGCAAAACTCTATATCGACGATAAAAATAAGAACGCAGTATACTTGCTATATGTTTATGTAAATCTAACCAAATTAGCCTGAAGGATAATCTCAATTCATCAGAGAAATGTGAGCTATCTTGTCCTATAGCTCTCCTGTTCCTGGTTTTGTTTACCGTACAAGTTGGACGGTAATGAAGCTGTACGGTCGGGCAGATCGATAAAACCAACCTGAATTATGGATGCAGTTCTATGGACGACACGTCTGTGCACACAGACTGATGGATGTCTGTTATTTGAAGACCATGCCAGTTTGTTTTAGGCCGGAGCAGCTCATGTTTCAGAGTGGAAAAGACACACCCATGTATTTACCTGAGTAAACACACCACACCAGGGCAGTGGATGCTTATGGAGGCAGCACGGCTTCTTTAATCTCGACTGTGCCAGTGAAGTAACCTACACATAAACGTTTAATTATGTCAAACAGGACTTTTGCAGAAAAGAAGATAATAGTTGACAAAGTCTACTCACTGTGTAGTTAAAGTGCATATATGTATTTGCATATAATTACATGTAAATATATATATATATATATATATATATATTTATGTGTGTGTATATATATATCAACTTTCACTAAAGGTCACAGTCTATTATTCAGTGGTGGAAGTAGTATTCAGATCTCTTTCTTTAGTTTAAGTATTAGCAACAAAATGTACTCACTTATTGCAGAATGGCCTCTTTCAGAGTGTTATATTATTGCATATTTTGTATTCTGATATTATTATTATTATTTTTATTGATGCATTAACACGTATGGAGCAACTTGATGGTGGAGGTGGAGCTAGTTTGAATTACTTTATATACAGTTAGACAGTTAAATCTACTACAAAGCATCATTTCATAAGATTTTCTTTATTGTTGAGTATGTAAAATTTTAATGTGTAAAGTACAGTGCTTGTGTAAAGAATCACAGACATAATATGAGATGTTTTTCTCAAGTGAATCTGGAATTCAAATAATGTGCATGATCAAAACGTCGGTATAGATAATTGACAAAATAACAAGTTCCTTTAATTGATTTTTCTTGAGCACATTTTGTGAGCTTCGTCATCACATTCCTTCGTACCAAGCCTGTGAGATGAAAGCTCAGATGTGGCTGAAAGTAGTCACCTTTTCAGTCAAACTGCGGTTCTCAACTTCAACAATGAGCCTTCAAGCTCAGTATAGATATTGTTGAAAATGTCATTTTTAAAATGTATGAACATATTTTAAAATCTGTCATGCTGTAATAACAGAACTGGTGTTACGTTGCTGCGCACTTATACGTTTACATGATAGTATCAATAAGTGTAACTATGTTGGAGCAAGAGACAAATATTCTGTTCAATTAAATCTTTCCTAATACTCATTAATTAACAGCTTAATGTGCTCATTTTAAACAACAATGATCTGAGTGTGAAAGGGTCAGTCTCACTACTGAAATAAAAACCTTGTGCCAGTGAAGCCTCCATATTACCTCTTCTCTCTTCCTTCTTCCAAGTTACCTCTTACTTTCACTTTCACTGGGATTTCCTTATCAATTACTGCCTGGTATTTGCTTTTCATCTGGAAATCATCCAAAGAGAAACATACCTGTCGTAGCGTCAGATTACCACAAGGTGGCTCAAGAGTCCTTTACAGCAATGACCATCTGGTTTTGGATGTCATGAGAAAGCTTGAATTTCAGATGTGCAGTGATTATTAACATGACTTAATTATCATGTAACAATCTGCTTATGCTGATATTAAGTAGTGAGGGAGATATTTCAATACTAAAAAAGAATAAATGACACAATACAGTATGAAGATTAGTAGAAAGCAGCTTGCATACCCTTTGCTAAATTTGAATGTCTGTCCTATATCTGGAAATCCATCCATGCAAATAGACATTTTGGGTAGGAGAGGCACACCCAATGAGATAAACATGTGCATGTATCTAGCTGTGGTTTGCAAGAAAGTTTAAAGCTGATGTTATATGGCAAGACCACGAAGAAACAGCTTTTATGCTCTCAGTATTTCATCAAACATGCAAAGATAGCAGTCTAAATCTCACACCCCACACTGCCCTCTCGTGAATATAAGCTCACAGAGGTTTATACGGAGGCCACAGTCAGCTGTTCTGTTTTAAAATAAATGCACCACAGATATGTCGTTGTTTTAAATGTTCCAGTTCAAACGCCTCTGTGAATGTGGGTCTATACCTTTGTCTCGCAGCAGTCTATGTCTTAAAATGATCTTAACATAAACTATTTATATTTGAATGTTTCACGAAATAATTGCATGTTGTTAACCTTTTTGCTTGTTGCCCCAAAGTGCCACTCCGTAAACTGGCAGATGAGGGGGATGAAGACTGTGAGATGTTTTTTGTCGCAAGTGATTGCTGCAATTTATAAATCTCAATGCATGACTGTTACTGACACATGGTGATATTAATAATAATCATAATAATAATCTGGGGGATAATTTGAGACAACCAAGCAGCACTCTTCTTTGTTTCTTTACTTAAACACAGCTTAACAAACACTTACTTCCTTCCCACCATTAACATGAACCAAAGTCCATGCTAATGTCTGCAGGTGCCTGAGTACACATGCATGTGCATCGTATGCATGTGATACATCCTTTTTTGGGGTGTTGTGTTATGAGCCTTGCCTCCCTTTGTGGACCTCTAGGGGGTGCTCCAGTGTTGTGCTTCAGAGATATGGAACAGAATGTACAGAACACAGTGTGCAAATGTATGATATTCACATACAAGCACACAGTGCCAACACGCAAGCCTGTTCAAAGTCACCTAAGGGAAATGACAACAACCTCTTCTGAGGATCTCCAGCATTATCTATCTATCACAGACGTGGGTCATTTGAATGTAAAAGCACACGAGAGATCCTTCCCAACAAAAATAATGAAGATTTTGGTTCAGTGAAAACTAATCCTGCAGACAAAAGGGAGCTGGAGCAAATCAATTCAACCTCGTTTGTACAAGCACAAGGCAGCAGGGTGCTACGTGAGCAATGGAGGGGAGAGGGTGGCAGTCTTTGCTGACCTGAGAGAGAGAGAGAGAGAGAGAGAGAGAGAGAGAGAGAGAGAGAGAGAGAATGCCACCCCTAAATGGACCTGAATGTAAAGATAGAGCCATGGGAATATAAGAACTGGGCGGTCCTCAAACACAACATGAGCCATGAGTTGAATGAGTAAGTGGCCTGCTGAACTTTATGTTAATGCTATATTTATTCTGCTGTGTGTCCTGTTAGAAAAATAAACCATGAGTGAGATACTGTAGTGTTGAAGGACAAAGCAAATGTGACTCAACGTTTTTAGGTTTAAATGATCTGACACTCACTTTCAGCTATAGGTGGAGGTCAGTATGCAGGTCAGATTGTAGGACAGCTGTTAGTCTGCTGTACATGTAGGCCTACAGTTTGTGGTTTGGCGTATAATATAGAAGATTACATGAATAGTTTGACATTTTTATTTTACTCCTCCTTCTTCCTGGTCCTTTCTGTGAAAATGTAAGGATTTTTGTGGTTTGCCAGCTATTTGAGACGGGTTTGATTGCAGCCGTGGCCTGGTGTTCCAGTCAGAAGTAACTTTATCGTCCTGTTCGTGTCAGTCAAACCAATGGCAATGCATTTGGTTCTAAGTACGATTTAAAGCACTTTTTTGTCAGATTCTTGTGACTTTGATGAAACACGAGGGGCAAGCTAAACAAACAAATTGTTTGGTGTTACATTAACTTAAGTCATTTGTACCAACTCGATCTTAATTAAGCTAGCTAGCTTCACAAAAGGTGGTGGAGTAAACAGTATAGTTGGAATTATTTGTCATTTTAACGACAGAAAAATTGTGAATGAAACAGATCTATTTTTGGAAGCCCGTTCGAAACTGTATGATCTATGAAAATTTATTTTATAAACAGGCCCAAAAAATGAGGCTACTATGGTTTCCTCAGAAGAAAGCGTCTCATCTAAACATCATATGCCGTTTGGATATTCTGAATTAAGCCTTATTCCGAA